AAATTCCTCCTTTAGTCATGTTAGCTCAGGAATTCTGGGAGTTGAAGTCCACAAGTCTTAAAGCTGCCAAGTTTGAAGAATCTTGCTTTAGGCAAATGAGTGGCAGCCCAGCATTTGATGAAATGTCAGCTTCCTCCTGCAATGACTCCTAGTACAATTCATTCTCCTTTTTAGTCTTTCTTAGACTTTTCTTATTAGGTGCCACTACTTTTTACATGGCTCATCATCATCTCTCCCCACATCCAATACTTTATATATTAGATGCACTCACTTTCTTAGTTCAGTTATCAAAACTTCACAGAGCAGGAATCCCTCAGAATTAAAGTGACCAAGTCAAATCCACTTTGCATTATAGTCACTTTAATGAATCAATTAAGAAATGATTACTGCACAACTGCTAATCTTTAAAATGAATTTCAAATATTTAAAAATGTAAAACCACAGGCATAAATTTAATATCAGCACATATGTATGGACTAATTTTTTTTTTGGGGGGGGGGGGGGGAGATACTCTTTAGCATATCAATTTCTTTTAGGCCTTCCCAAAAAGTCATTTTTGAGGAAATGGTAGTCAGAGAAATCTGCCTAGCCATTATGTCTCTCTTTAAAAGCTTACCTTCAGATTGGAGAGCTGGCCAAAGGTTTTGGAGCAGACATTGCATTCATACTTTATTTTGCCATTCTGTTTTTTCAAGGGATAGGGAAGTGTTTTATAACCAGTCATATTCCTCTTGTTCTTGATGAGATTTATGGCTTCTTCACTGCTAGTGGCAGCTAATACTGCCGAGGTAGGTTTTGCTTGCATGATGTGTTCAGAAGTGGCTGCAGTGCCTGCAGTGGGCGACCCACTTGTGGGGCTACATGGCTTGTCTTTCATGCTGGCAGCAGCTCCTGTGATGGAGAAGGCACTGTTGTGTGCAGGAATCAGAAGGTCCCTTGGATGATCCGGCTGCAAGAAGTGACGGCTCCCATCTGATGGCAAGGAACTTGGAAGGGTAGATGAGTTCAGGATATGAGGGGAAAGGTTTCCACCGCTGAAGAAGCTGCTGTACAAAGGATACATCCTTGGGAAGAGATTGAAATTGTTGATGCTCATGCCATATGGTGGTAATAGGAATTTGGGATAGGGAAAGGTTTGTGAAAGATGGCTTGAGGGGGCATATCCAGAATATGACCCTAATCCTTCTGTGTTATACAGTCCATTCAAGTAAGAATAAGGCTCCCTGTGCTCTTGAGTCACAGAAGCTAAGGGTGAAATTGTAACTCCTGGACTGCTGTGAGGGCTTGAACTTTTTAAACTTTGGTCTGGGCTACTTCTTGCTGAAGGACTTGGGGTAGTAGAAGGCTGGATAGGTGAGTGAGCAAGGTAACTAGGCCTATCAATCCCATAAGCCAGGGAAACCTTCAGGTAATCTTCTGGAATGTGAGGTCTGATGGGATAGACAGCTCGAGGATAGAAAGGCCTCCTTTCAGGACTACAATTTTTCCTTAAGACCTCTAAGTCTTTTTCTTGAGTATGTGGAATAACATGGCTACAGCACAAATCCCTTCCTCTAGGATGATTGGAGTCAGTTTTTAGGATTTCCTTCACACTATGTTCTCTTCTCGGAAGATTTTTCTGAAAAAGTTCATCTTTGTCACAGGTTTGTTGCTTTGGCCTATTGTGGCTTTGGGCTGAAATACAAGAACAAAACATAAGCAATGAGTGTGGGGTGTCTGGTCTGAACTTGCTTATTTTCTTGCAATGAGTATTTCAAGACATTTGCAGGCATTGGATGGATTCATTTTGCAGTCTTATCAAAGTGAGGACAGATAACCCTTGTCAACCGTACATTTTTTGAAAACACTTTGAGCATTAACTTCTATCTTAAAAAAAGAATTAGTCTTGGACTTTTGAAAATGAATACTACTAGGTTCAACTCAAAGAAATAAAACCACTAACTACTTATATTAAATTGTAGAAAATCTGTCAGTACTTTCCATATTACATTTGTTCTCAAGCTCATGCCATCTTTCTTGAATATGGAGCTTAAATGCTTTATTAAAGAAATCCGGTATCCTTTAAAAATGATTCAAATAACATTTAAAAGCAAATTTTCAAAAATTCTTTTGAAAACAGCATGAGCCTCTGGTTCTACATAGCTTTATTCTAATTTTTGATCATCATTCAGACAGTCCAATTGCATGTCAAAATGTAGGAAGGAAGCATTTTTCTCTGTCCCAATATTATAACTTTCAGGAAATGGCATGAAAGTTCTTTGTACAAAGGAAACATTTTCTTTTGGAACTAATTATGTACCATCAAGTCAGGGTTGGTTTTTACCAATTGCATCAATAATTTTTCTGTGTGATTCTTTTGAGTGGGGATATTATAATTTTTTGGCAATGTGCTACTCTCCTAGAGGTCCTGAAGCTTTTTCAGCATCCCAGTTACAACACTTGATTATAAAAGGAACATAATTTTCAATAAATTCATCAAAAGAAAATAGCAATTCTCTTTTGTCTCTCCAGTTAGGGTTTGCACAGCAAGACAACAACCCTACTTTTAACATCCCTCTATTTTAACTGTGGCTTCAGAAGATATGAGTACACACATGTCGTGTCAGGTAGCTACATCATTTTTTCCTACCACACATATATTGCTGAAACACTGAGGGATGTGATGACTGGCCCCAGCTCTCTGAAGTGTTTCTGTGGTGTGTATGTGGTGAGCAAAGAAGACATCTAGGCCTCTTCATATTCACCATTTTTTAAACACACACCTGCTTTTGCTATGATGTGTGAAGTGGTTTCTAGTTTTAAGCTTTAAGAAAAGACACACCGAGGGTGTGATATTGTAATTAAAACTAAAAATAAAAGCCTTTTCAATTAGCACAAATTTTTCCCAAACTTTATTAAAATTTCAAAAAGGTATAAAGTACAAAGTAGCAAAGAAAAGAAAGAGTTAAAAAGAAAGGAAAGGAGTAAGAAAAAAGCAAGTTTGGGAGTTGCAAACAAAAGGGGAAAAACTATTTAAAAAGTTAATTTATTTGATACAGATAAAAATGTAAAAATCAATTATCCTTTCAATAGAGTAAACCATAACAAAAGGTACTTTTGTCATCATAGACAAATCTAATCATCAAAGCCCAAGGTTAAAATTTCAATTCTTTCAGTTTCAAACGAAATATTCAAGAATGGTTTCCAAGTAGAAAGTCTTTTCTTTAATCAAAGCAGTCAACTTCGCTATCTCTGCCAACTCTACATTAATTTCATAATCCATTCTTCCCTCGTAGCTGGCTAAATGTGAGTTCTTCCATCTTTGGGCATATATAAGTCTTGCTGCTATGGCCACAGATAAAAACAAAGTTCCATTAAAAAAATGTTTCTCCATCAAACCCAGGAGAAACACGCCTAGCTTCAATAGTACATTCAAATTAAGAATTCTCTGAATGTCTTTGGATCCAAAATAGATGTTTCATTTATACATTTTCTGGTTTTTGTTCCAAAGGTTGTTTTCCTTAGAAGTGTCTCTACACAGGAAGTGGTATGGTGTTTTATTATGGAAGAACCTGTACCACTGCATTGTGTCTTACAACAATATATAAGGGAGTATTTTTATTTATTTATTTATTTATTTTCTCACCTTTTATATAAGAGCTCAAAGTATCATATAGGCTCCTTCCTCCTATTTTTTCCCCTCAAACAGCAATGCTGTGAGCTATGTTAGGCTGGAAGAGAAAGTGACATGCCCGAAGTCTTCTAGTGACCTTCCATGGCTGAGGATAGAGAAGAATCTGAGTCTCTTTATTCCTAGCTTATTACCTCAACTACTTTACCATGCTAATTGTTGGAACTGAAACTGAAGAAACCTACTCAATGATTGGCATCCCTTTTCTGTTGTCCTTTACATAATCCCTAAGGCTGCTATACTGGACTCATGTAAGTCTCCCTGGGCAGCTACTTATACATGGTAGCTTTCTATAACTGCTGAAGAAGAAATTTAGGGTTCTTTTTTTATCTTGAATGTTTAATTATAGACTGTTTTTGAATGTATCACACATAAGAATTCTAAAGGAATGTGCCATATTTTCCAGTTCTGTAAGGATTTGGGATTGGCTGCCAGGCATGTATTTCTTGGCATATGCAGCTAACTTCTTAGTAATTTGTAAACTAGCTTCTACCTCTTCTGAACTTGAATTCTCCTATCCATTGGCCATGTTGGTAGAGGCTGGCAGGAAACTGGAATTCCTAATATCTTCAAGTCATGAAGCTTCCCTTTCTGCATTAGTCCGTTTCCCTAGAGCAGGGGTATCAAACATGCAGTCTGTGGGCCGGATGCATCATGTGCTGGCCCCGCCTCCACCCAGTTTAGCGAAGTGGGAGAAAAAGTCCTGATACATCATGTGACGCCACGAATTTGACACCTTTGCCCAGAGGCTCCCTTTTTTTCATAGTTTCTTTCAATTGATTGGTTCTTCATTCAAAACAAAAAACTAGGAGTGACCAAATACATGGGAGAAAATAAAATAAAATAGAGAATAACTAAAGATTACTTTATTCTACTCTTTTATTATTTTTGTAAATCCAGTATTCATGGCAAGGGAAAAGATAATGTTATTGGATAAATCATAGGAAACTGAGGAAAACATTACAGACCTCAAACTGGCCTAGTCTGCGTACTTTTTAGAAACTGAAATATAGGAGTTTGCTTTATAGATTCCATGTAGAAAAGACTACATACTCTATTTGGCCTCATATGGATTTTTATCTCTGAACATATCTTACAACTCATACAACTTATTTGATCTTCTTTTGATGGTGAGTAGATTGGGAAATGAGATTATATGCCAGTTCTGATTTTTGTTGAGGGAAATAAGTCTAAAATTCATTCAAGCACCTCCTTGCATATAAACTCTAATGCAGGGTATTAGAAATACAGAAACTATATTAAAATCATTATATACGTGAATGGCATTTTCTTGGGAAAAAATGTACTAAGTAAATTCAACCTATATTTCCATTAGAAATCAAAGACAATTTCTTGTACTAACTCTACATATATATAGATATAAATGACTAATAGTATGACAACAATTGGTACCGGTGTAGCCATGCATTGGTCAGTAAAAAAAGAAATACAAATAAAGAGTGAATTATGTTTTACTCAAACCTAGTTGCAAAAACCCTTTCATTTGTAATTCTATTAGCAGCCTGAGACATTTTAATTCTTTCCCCTGAGACCTCAAAAAATAGCTGTGGGTGTATAGTGTCATTTCCAGAGTAAATGCTGATCAACATTTTAAATGATTAATTTTAATCATGCTGATTCATATTTTTGTTCTAAATAAAATAGCTGTTTTGCCAGAAGAGAACCTCAGAGTTCTACTTTTTCCCCAACAGATGCTAGAATGAAGGCTATTATTTAAAATTTCATTAGATCAAATGTTGTTCCTAAATGTGTCACATATTATTGAGAAGATTAATATTAGGCCATCAGAATAAAAAACTTTTCTGCTGTTCCTTTCCAGAAAGTGACAGATTCAAATAGGTTGGTCCTCCAAAAGTTTCGGCAGAATCTCATCTGCCATCATCAGGCTTCTGTATTGATGAGAAATGCAGTAAAAAAGCTGGAACACACTTCCTCACTAGTCCAACACATGAAAGCCACAGGTCATAGCATCAACTTCAATGGCACCAAAACCCTAGCCACTATAGAAAACCCCAGCCACAGAATTATCAGAGAAGCCATCGAGATTGAAAAAAGACCTGAAAGCATGAATAGAAGAGATGATTCCAGCAGACTGTCAATTATTTGGAAGCCTGCACTCACAAACAAACAAATCTCCACACCACTAGCCAGGCAAACACCTGGGCACAAACAGATCCCCCCTGATACCTCCAGCTCAAACACACCCCAACCAGGCACCCAGATGAAACCCAGCTTCCTAACTAATGATAGCCGTCCATTTACTCGGAGCCAAGCTGCACTAAAAGCCTCCAATACAGGAACACAATGTTGCCAGCCAATCAAGACACACACAAAAAAGCCACAAAACAGACAGAAGATATTAGAAACACCAATCAAGCAGAACTCCAAGACCAATAAACACAGACCAAGACTCCCAACCAATCAGGATGAAGAAAAAACCATTCTGGCACAGCAGTAGGCTAGCCCCAAATTTAAAACTGAAACAACTGTAAACGTCTGACTCACAGACGAACACAATACAGAAGCCTGATGATGGCAGATGAGATTCTGCCGAAATGTTGCTACAACTTTAAAAGAACAACTATAATGACGTGGGAAAATACCCGAACAAAGCTGAATAACATATACATATATACATACATACATACATACATACATACATACATACATTCATATTCCCTTTTAAAATCAGTTAATTAAATAAATTAATTATATGTTATATAATGAAATGTTTTTTTTATTCCGAATGTACCGCTAATCAATTTCATCCATTACACTTTAGATTTTAAGCCACAGAATTTAGCGTGTTAACATGCTTACTATTATACATCTTTGTAATATTTCATCTGCTCAAACCTTAGCTGATTCCTCAAAACCTAAGCACACCTTGGCAAATTATCTCATAACTTCAGGGATATAAGAAGTCAAAAGAAAAAAAAATGATATCCCATAAGACAACAAAGAAAACTGCATCTGTGTTATCACCAAGAAAACCTACATGTATCTCTTTACTTAGGTGATTATTTTCCTAAATGTCATGTCACTTTAATTTTTTCTCAAAATTAAGATGAAGCAAACTCCTAATCATTTTCTCTACTCATTTGTGGAATACATAACAAGCTCAACCATGCATCTTATTTTTTAATACAGCAGCCAGAAATCCAGTGTTTCTGACATAAAAAAATTATATAAAAGGCATTATAAATACAAGGCTTCTAATTGCAAGTAACTGAAGAAGCAAGTAACCTGGGGTTTTCAACATGAATTTCAGTTATTTTGAGACACAATTAAGAGGACTATGTAACATGTCAAGCTAAATCAATTAAAATATTTAGTTCACTTTTATGGATAGCTATATATACATTTATCAACTGATTTTTTAAAAGTAAAATGATTCACATCAACTCAACCTTTTGCTTTGAATCTCAGACTCAAAAATCAGAGTGTGACTGATTCACATCCTCTAGCATTTAAAATTGACTTATTGCATGTGCAGGCCCTGCTATATTATGCATTCCTATGATACTTTATTGTATTTGTAATAACTTAAATCAATATCATGGACAATTATGTGATTCTTACATTTTCATAACTTCAAACAATAAATAGTATATGATGAACAGAAGTATTTTTATCTGAATGCTTAGGAAGCCCCTTTTCGGCACAAATTGATATAAAACAAAAAATAGACATAGTTTTAGAATATACTTATAATAAATCAGAATCTATTTATGTTCCTAGGATACAGTCGCTCAGAAATGGAGAGTTACAGGAGAAATAATATAACAAGAGAAAATGAAGATATGAAAACGTAAGGTTGGGGATGGATTTTAATTAGACAGGATTTCAAATTTAGGTTTTATCAAAAGGTTCATACTACTTGACGTTATCATGGTAGACAATTTTATACAGAGCTAGATGCAAATGTACCTGACTTAAAGATACACTAATTACCCTATTTGAAAATAGATGCTATCTGGATACGCAGCCTATTTTACTGCTTTTAAGTAAGGATGCTCTTTTATATGACAGTATGTATGCATGTGTGTATTCTATTTCTATGGATCTCCGCTCAAATATAACCCTGGGCAGTTTACAATAATTAAAATCAATATAACAAGTTAAAAGTTCTTTACTTCATTAGTTCATATAGCTTCTACACTGGAGGCAGGACATGTGTGGAGCAGAGGTGATAAGCAACATGATTCAGGAAGAGGCTACTTCTATCTATATCATCTTTCATGCATATTTTAAAATTTCCAAGAATAATGTTTTCCAATCTCAATTAGCAATTTTTTAGGTTGTTGGAGCAACATTATACAGCTTCATTTATTTACTATACTACATTAAGAAAAAAAGAATTGGGACCAACTTCCTAAGTAAGCAAATATTTTCTTTTTTCTTGAAGTGAGTTCCACTGCAGTCTTCTAGGATTATTTTTTTATTTCCTAGTTTATTCTATAGTCCTGGTATCTCCTTGTATAGGAAGTCCTCGCTTAGAGACTACAGTTGGAACTGGCAAATTGGTTGTTAAGTGATGTGGTTGCTAAATAGTGGAAGTAAAAGTATTTTCACTGAACCAGCACTGAAACCAAATTCTACCTGCATAGTTTGAAAATATTAACAAGCCAATCCTACATATCTCTAAGATCAGCAATAAGCCCCGCCACATTCAGTGAAATTTATTTCATGTCAGATTGTGGTGAATATATGTGTGTGTGTTTGTCTGTCTGTCTGTCTGTCTGTCTGTCTGTCTATCTATCTATCTATCTATCTATCTATCTATCTATCTATCTATCT